CAGCCCGTTGGTGTGCGGCACGCTGCGGTCCGTGCCCGGCCCGGGGCCCGCGCCCGCGCCCGGGTGGAAGCGGGCCTTGGCGTAGTTGCTTACGAACTGGTCCTGCAGGAAAGAGCCGGCCATGGCGTAGCGCGCGCCGGGCACGATCTGCGAGCGCGGGGAGTCGTTGGGCGAGGGGGTCAGGCGGTCCATGTCGCAGCCGGTGTAGATCCTGCGAGGGAAGGAGAGAGAGAGAACCGAGGGGTGGCGCGGAGGTCCCTTCGGGGGAACAAAAGGAAAGGACACCGCTCTTCGCCCATCCCCGCGCTCTCCAGCTGTCACTTGCCATCCGGGAAGGAGACAGACAGAAGGTCACAGACCTGCATCCGCCCCAAATCAAATCGTGAAATGAAAAAGGGAGCAACTTGTTTATTCAAGGACCCAAAACTGATACAGATCAAGAGGAAGGCGCCCCTCGCTCGGCCCCTGCTCTCACCGGCCAAGGGGACGCGGGGCCGAGAGGAGCGCGGCCGCGGACCCCATGCCACGTCCCCGCCACGCGCACACAGGATGGCAGGTTACCCCAGGTGTTATTAACCAAGGTGTTATTTATTTGCCCAGGGGGGCTTTCCTCTGCGGAAAGTTTCTGAGCCACATTTCCAAACGAGGTACCCACTGCTCCACCCTTTTAAGACGGCTTTCTTCCTTTTGACACACATGCGGGGCCGCCCAGGTAGTAATCATTAAAAACCCGCCTTCCTCAGCCTCCTGAGACCCCAGGGCGGCTGCTGGAAGGCTCTGCAATACCGACTGTCCTGTTTCCCATGTGTGATCCTTTAACCCTCACCTCTACCAATACAAACAAGAATGACTACTTGGAAACAAAGTCAACAATCAATAAAATTATTTTACAAAGACCTTCTCTGTGCAGCTTTTGATTTTCTTATTGGTAAAAAACAAACAGACAAACACACACACACTTTGGGGCAAACTCTTACAGTACAGTTATCAACTCCCTCCAAGCAATCTCCCACTAATAACAGCTAACCCTCAGACAACTTGACCACATGCCAGGCACAGTTGTCTAGGACTATACAGATAGTGGCTTATTTAACTATCACAACAATCCTTGGAGTTAGGTACCATCATGACCCCACTTTCCAGATGAAAAAACTGAGGCAAAGGGAAGTTAAATACCTTGCACTACCAGTAATTGCCCAGACAGTAATTGTGTTACTGGGAATTACCTTAGATAAAATAATCAAAAATTAACTCTAGGCCCAGAGCCTAGGAAATCCCATTAGAATTGAAAGGGAACCAGAGATTGGATCAAGATTGGTAGAAGTGTTTTCTCATACACATATACACATGCCTCTTTTTATTTAGCTCACACTTAAATGTTTTAATCTTTAATCAACAGACTGTTTTGAAAGAGAGCCTCATTCTTGTCAGACCTTAAGCCTCTGGGGAGGAGATTCCCTGGTGAGTGGCCAAGCAACCCTCTAGTCCCCCTGAACTCTTATTGCTCTCCCAGGCTCTCCAGAAGTGAGCCATGTCCAAATAACCAACAGAAGAGTGGAAAAGGAGAGTGTCACAAACCATTCTACTCTTCCCTAAACCGCCCCCCCCCCCAAAAAGCTCAAGTACCCATTCATATAGGTAAAGAAGCTTTTTATGAAAAATATATAGTGGTTTAAGAATCAGAGCAAACTGGCTTTTCCAACAGAAGTCAGCCAGAGGAGGGGCAGGTGAGGATTACACTGCCACTGCTAAAGTCCATTTTGTTTACTGCACAGAATTTCCCTCCTGAAATTTAATTCCAGTTTCAAATAAGAGAAGTAGAGGGAGGCACAAAAGGAGCATAACTAGCAAGGTGCAAATATCTTTTTTGTTTACCACCACAATATTTTAAAAGAAAAAAAAGCAGTCTGCAAAAGATATAGTTTAGATGCCCATCCAGGTCCCAACCCACTTGGGATTACCAAATTGATTTGTGCAAAATAAAATGCTTTGGAACAGATGTTCACAACAGAATTAAAAGCTCAAAATCTACAAGACCCCCTAGTACAGAGACCAATAGCTCTGGTCTCCTGGGCCACACACTTTCCACTGTGCCGGGTCCACCTTTTTAGATTGTGAGGTCTAGAGTAGCCAAGTTTTTATTCTGGGGAATCACTGGTGAGGCTTGCTTCCTTTGAACTACTTTTGAAGGGTGCACAAGATGGTTATAGGGAGCAATATCAATGACTCTCTTGTCAATTTGTTATAAAAATATCAGAAGGGAATGTTGGTATCTACCTGGAGATGGAATAGAAGCGGCCACTTGTCTCTTTCTCTATAAATTTAATCTATTTCATCTTCAATTTTGCAGCTCTATCCCAGGCACTTAATGCAAGCCGAGAAATTAAAGTTTATGTACCTCTTCCCTTTTATGGTCAGAAAACAGTGTGGGGATCCCCACAATCTAGATTTAGGTTTTGCTATATAACACTATCTGAACTCGTAGGCACTATACCAGGACTCGGAGCAAGAATGCTAGAACAAGCACAGAAAGCACTGTTTACACCTGCTGTTGCCCCCAGAGGACAGCATGTTGACAGAAAAGAAATGGAGATAGGTAAGGGAGACCTGGAGAAAAGGGAACCAACACTTTTAATGAAAACATATGTAAGAGGAAATATTTTTCTCTTAAAGCTTATAAATAATACACAGCAACAGCACCTAGATCCTTCCCAAAGCCTGAGATGACTGTCATAGTGGCTCCGCTCATCGTGGTGGGGGCACATTTTTATTCAGTCCATAGTAAACTTGCACAGGAAAAGCTATTACACACAACTTGGAAATGGGTAAATAAAAGTCACATATGCCAAGGAGACTGTAACAACTGCCAGAGCCACATGCACTTTCAGGCAGAATCGGGAGGTTTCAGACACAGACAATCTGAGCTGAGCATCTGCAGCACCACATACAACTGCTGCACCCGGGAACCCGGGCAGCTTCCCCTGCCAGCCAGCCAGCCAGCCAGCCTGCCTCAGAGGCCCACCGACAACTTGGTAATTTATAAGAAAGCTAAAAATAGGTGGAGGAAACCTTTGACCAAAACTACTGAAGTGCTAAGCCAGAAGGTCACCAGAGAGAATGGGAGCCGACAAAAAGGAGAGAGAAACCCTGGAAGAAAACAACCTTGTCTTCACACATTCCAGCTTCCGAAAACCTTATACATAGCAATCCACCTTTGACCTAAAGCCCACATCCACAACTATATGAGAAAAAAGGTGCACAATTACTTACGTGTCATAATTATCCCGAAATCCTTTTGCAAAGGGGTTGTGATCTATTTTCAGTTGTGTAATCTGGGAAAGAGAAAAAGAGATGACTATGCTCTCACCTTCCCTACGGGAGGACTGGGTGTTTGAGGATATATCATTTGCCATTTTTTTATAGGGTCTGAAGGCCTAGGATTCCATCAAATAACAAGGCTTCCTTAACTGAAAAAGTTGAGGGAATGGATGGAAAGGGGGAAAAAAGGAAGTTATCATGAAAGTTATGAGGAACGTCTTTAAATTAATGATGCCTAAAACTAAAGCACTGCTTTCAGTGAGCTCTCACATGTGTTCTAAATTGGTTCAAAGGCACAGGTTAAAAATGCTTGTTACATATAATGCACTTACTCAGATAAAAGTCTCTAAGGGGTACTTGAATTAATCACCAAAATAGCCTGTTTTAAATGTTTCGCCATATTTTTTAAAGTTGATTGCTTCTGAAGTCACAACCTGAAGAACACACAAGTTGCATCTTAAAATCAGTTTTGGTGTTCGCCAGCTTGCAAATGCTGAAGAGATTCAAGAGCTAGAAAACTCATTCCATAGCCCATGGTAATTTAATTTATTGTCCCTTTCACATATAAGAATTAGTGTGTTCTTTTGATCACCCGAAAGTGATGTTTATTTCAGCCATCAGTTCCGAGACTTTAAAAAAAAAAAAGTATATTTATATATATTAGGTAATGCCACAGATTGCCAAGAATAAAATGCAGTGGGAAATCTGCTTTTTTTCTAAAGGAAAGAGGGCTTTAAAAAAAAAAAAAAAAACAGATTTAAATCTGTTCTAGTTTGAGAACTAAATTAAATATTCTAAAGAGAAGGGGCCCTAAAATCCTGGGCACCTCAAAGGGGGCCCGGGTGACTCGCCACGGAGACGACTCGGAAGCGCTTTCCCAGCGGCGAGGCAATTGGGTCGGG